TTGTAATGGGTAAAAAAAAAAAGTTTTTTTTTTTTTTTTGTTTTTCGGAAAACACGAGCTCCATCTATTGGTGGGGAGCAGCACCTGCTGGAAACCGGGTCCAGCGTCCCATAGATACAACCATATCCTCTCAAATTGGCACGAGCTGGGAACCGGGCCCAGCGTCCCATGAGTACGTTCATCAGAAAATTTCGTGACCGTGAAACTAAGGATGTACTGAAAAAGTCCAATTGAGGGAATTTAGAGCTACTTCAGAGCTTTTTTGTAAGGGACTTCCGAGATAATAAAAAACCAGAAGAAGACTCGGGAATCCACCAACATTCCTCCTCACCCCACTCCGGCAAGACTTACTGCAGCAAAGCTACCATCTCTACTGCTGATATGCCCTATTTCTGTCCTACCAGCTAGCCCCTTCACAAGCAGGACGCGTTATACCTTTCTCTCTCGATCCCTTTCCTTCCCGTTACTCAGCAAAAGGTACGGGAATAGACTGCAAAAGTCCTAAAAAAGCCCCCAATCCCGCAAAGTCCCTAACAAAACCTTCCGAGGATCTCCAACACTGTCGTATTCCCTGCCGAGCTTCCAGGCCTCACACCCCCCATCCTGCTGGGTTACAGGGCAACACAACTCACCCCAGCTCCGGCCAGCGTCGTCTCAGCAGCAACCCTCAGCAACCCTTGATTGTCCCGTGGGATGGCCCCCCAAAGCACCCCCAGATCTCTCTACCAGGCCTCATGCCCCTGCGTCAACAGGTTACAGGGCAACACCCCAGCACCGGCCAGCGTCGTTCTGGCGTCGAACAGCCTTAGGTCACCAAGTATTACAGCCTTGAGACTACCTAGAAGAGATTGCCAGGAAACCCCAGGATCCAGAAGACATTTTAAGGACAGAACAGCCTACCCCCTTTTTTGAGAACTGGATTTAACTAAGTGAAAACTCATAAAAACATAAAAAAAGAGACCTGGCGGGTCCTACAAATGCTCAGAAGCCCTTGGAATCCCTAACGCCCCTTCCGAGGCCTTTCAACACTGTCCTACTCCCTGCCGAGCTCTTCCAGGTCTCACACCCCACATCCTGCTAGGTTACAGGGTGACACAACTCACCCCAGCTCCGACCAGCGTCGTCCCAGCAGCAACCCTTAGCTGTTCCGTAGGATGCCCACCCCTAAGCATCCCCAGATCTCTCTACCAGGCCTCATGCTCCTGCATCAACAGGTCACAGGGTAACACCCCAGCTCCGGCCAGCGTCGTTCTGGCATCGAGCAGCCATACAGGTCCCTGAGTATAACAACATCAACAAGCACCTAAGAAGAGTTGCCAGGGATCCTGAGAGCCCCAAAGCATTCTTAAGACCCCTGAACAGCCATCTAAAAAAGGGGGGAGAGGTCAAAACTAAATACCAACCATCCTAAAGTCCCCCCCTCAACAAAGGAGCCGTCGGTCTCGACTTTCGGTCCTCGAACCAGAACACACTTGGTCTCATACCCCCTTCTGCATAGGTAACAGGGCACCGCAACCTTCCCCAATACCGACCAACCTAGTTCTGTCGGATAGGAAGTGCCTTCCTCCCTCGACAATTCCCATAGCGACAAACCCCTACACAGGTTACAGGGTCAGAACCCCGGCGCCGCTTGTGTTGGACGATCTGGTTATGCCTTCCACCCTCGGCATAATTCCATGGGCCTCAAGCTCGCCCCCGGGTCACAGAGCCAAGCTCCAACACCGGCCCATGTCATCCCAACCTCGTCCTCCTGACCTACTCACCTTCACCGACATCCATCCTCTGATTGAAGACCACCTTTCCTCCTCCCATCCTCCCCTTTTTAATTCCCCCCTCCTTCCATCACCGAGACTGATTACTAGGTAAAACTAAATAGCATCAAAATCAGATAATTTTTCGTAATGCAAATATGATGAAACTATTTTTAGGCTTAGTATCACATTCATTCACAATTTAGACTAGAAGTTTGATAAAACTAAATTACGAAGATCGACAGACACGCAAGACCCTTGAGAGACTAAACAGATAAGAATCGTTTTTGCTTTTGAATCAGAGCCAAAACTCTGATTTACGAACGTCGAATTATGCAAGATCAGAAAATGAGAATCGTTGTTGAGATGTCCCATAGGACTTATGAACACTGAATATTGGACCGCCCGATCCAAAATTCACTTCTGAAAATCAATCAGAAAGTCAATTGAAAACGTAATGAAGTTTCAGAATTAGGATTTCCGATTAGAAATCTTACCCAGAAAGTACGAATTGCAAAGCATTAAGATAGCAATCCTAAGAAAATTGAAAGAATGAATCGAACGATACCATCGTTGAAAAACCGTTTAGCAAATCTTCGAGATAGGAATTGAGAAAATGTTTCCAAACTACATCTGAAATCAAACGAGAAAAAGATTTACGAATTATTTGCAGCTACCCATAGTCCACCGCAATTATGCTAGAAAAACCTTAGAAAAACAAATCAGTCAATAAAACGGGGGAAGACACCCAACACCAACGGGCAAGCCAGCGTGTTTCCTACTTCGCCCTATTCAATCAACGCCTCCCTTTCCCCTCAAAACCTCACCTCCCTCTTCATCGGCTCCCCTTTCCTCGGCTCCTCGCATTTCGACTGCGTCTTGGTCTTACACAACCATCACCACATCAGGTCGAGGGATGAAGTTATTGGACCGTGACAAAAGCTCACCATCTCCACCACGTCACGTTGTGAGTCCCAACTATTGAACCCGCCAATAGCCCCTCACAGACAGTTTCAAGAATGAAAGGAACGCTCACCTTATCACGGGCGCCGTAGACAAACCTTGAAGACCAGCATGAGAGGATCTGCGCTTGGACGTCTGCCGAAAGAAGGGATCCGAGTGATCGATCTCATAATCTTCTGGTGGCACAACCGCTGAAAAGAAGAGCCGAGTGGAAAAACCAAACCTCCCCTTATCCACTCCCCTCCTTCTCACAGTATATTTCTGAGAAACCATGAGTGGAGTGCATAACATAACTGTTTTCCAGTTTTTTTAACTTTTTTTTTTTTTTTTTTTCGCTGGGACCTTCTTGGGTTGCTACACGGCCCTGCGGCCCAGGCAAACAAGGTGACCCGGGCGGCCCGGCTGGTAGCCTAGCCTCTCGTAAAATTTTGGAGGCCATGGACCGTCGATAAAATGAATCGACAACTCATGGCCTCCTATCTTTTAGGAGAGGCACAATCTACTTTTTCGGATCTACTGGTGGTGTGTCATCCTGGCACAGGGGCTATTCGACGAAGATTTCTTCCTTCCGCTTTGTATTTCAACACGAAGGTGGTTTTCAGCCTCTTTTTTTTTTCGTTTTTTTTCTTTTCTTTTTTTCATTCTCTAGGCCACTAGTCCCCCCAACAAGATGTGACCTTAAACCACCAGTACTTGACCCAGCTATCGGCAGCGGCGCTTCCCCATTAATTGGCCGTGCCTTTAGGGCTTCGGGGTACCGTACCACAATGGCTGGAAGCGCCAGCCAAACAAAAACTGAAATGGTACCCCGGCGCTTTGGCAAAAATTGGCACATGGGCATTCCAGGCTTGGCATCGATATCTGGGCCAAGTACTTGTGGTTTAACATATCGGCCACGCTTTGGATGTACGGGCGTGCCTGTCCCTGACTAGATTCCTAGGTAGCACGGCATTTCCAGCTGGATTAACTGTCCAGATCATTCATAATAAGAAACTCTCAGAGATCTGCAGAAGGGTCTTGCGTACTGGCAGTTCAACGTGGAAAACAGCAACTATTGTTATTAAAAAAGAAGAAAAAAACATTGTGGGCTTAGGGCTTCGTTAGACACTCCTCGGGCACGTAAAATCTGTGGCCAAACCATTTCTTGCCCTAGTGCAAGGGACCTCACGAGGTCCCTAGAGGTCGAGGATCCGTGATAATTGGAGCGGCGAAGGCACACATCGTCAGTAGCTTTTTTATTTTCAACTGGTCCATTGGTGATCCGCCAGCCGGTGCATGGACATCTTGGCCACCGACGTTGGGCCGTGGTGCAACGGCTGCCGTTGGAGGACGGCCATTGTCAAGGTTCCTCTTCAATAGGGGCTGATGTTGCCGTGATTTGCTGTGGTTTCCCGCCAGCGTCGGCAGGGTCCGACGGTCGGGAAAATTGATATATTTTGCCCAACCAGACTCCCACATCCCCACCCGAATCGGCGACGGATATCGTTATGGTGTTTCTTTTGTATGCTGTCCTCTTCCGTTTGCTCCCTTCACCGTTGCCATTTGGCGGACCTCTACCGTCGTCGTCGAGTTACGGCCCTGCCGTACGTGTCGCGTATGGCCGACCTCTATCACAGGCTGCCAGTGCTGCTCCTAGTCGCAATGTTGCTTGCCGGCGTCCTCTTGTTCCACGTGTGCATCATCGGCAAGGTGCCTGGGCGTACACGCAGGAGGTGGTCTACGAAGAAGGGCATCGAGGTGTACCAGCGGCAGCCGAAGAGCAGGGCGTTGTTTGAGTCCCCCGCCGCTCACCGCGCGCAGCACATCTCGACCAGCGGTACGACCCCTCTGCGTACACGCACTTACCCTCACAGGAAATTCCGCTGCCGCCGACAGACGACAAAGCGGAGGAGGTAGGTTCTCGGACCGTCGAGCGGATCAACACTGGATTGGGCAGGGAGCCAGTTGTTTGAAAGTCGGCCAACGAGAGAAGGATAACGGAGACCCTAATTTTCAGACCACTTGCCATGCCATTTATAAGAAAACCAAAGGGTCATTTTAATCAAACTTGCCACCAATTCGTAGAGTGTAGACCATACTAACTAACTGCAAAAAAAAATCAAAAAAAAAGAAAATTAAAAACATATAAAACAGCAAGGCAAAAGTGCATTTTCATGAAATTTTGCCATGAAATTTTGCCAACATCTCAATTTCAGAAATCTTGAGAAATTTCAGAAATCTTAACAGAGAAAATTCCAATTCTCCAAATGACACAAAATTTGGCACACAAAAACCTTGAACCAAAACAAGAACAGGCCAATTTTGTTTTCTTCTTCAAAAAACATAAAATTTGACCCCGAAACCCTAATTTCAGTTTTGGACTCGTTACCCAGGGCCTGAAAATGGGGGTCCCCGTTAACAACATGAGCAAAAAGAGAGACTCGATTTTAGTACAATCCATTTGAGTCGGAGCATGCAACATGTTCCAAATGCCCCACCAAATGGCAAATTTGAAATGACAGAATTCCAGACTGCAAAAATGACATTGAAAATTGAAAGCCAGATAGTATAAAGCTGTCCAGCAAGCAGAAATGCAGTAACATCACACCGGAGGAGAAGCAAAGCATCGATCTCAATTGTCAATGAAAGCATGCACCCTCGCCACCACCAGCAAAGCGTCGATCTCAATTGTCTTTGAACCTCTAGCTCCTAATGGCGCTCAGCGCCCAGACTACTATCCTACAGCTACGCACGAGCTACAAAATGACCCGTTGACTTCAGCAGCAGCAAACAAAGTACATGCAGATGTCGACCATGTTGTCATCCTCCAAGACGAGGTACATGCCCTCACATCACCTCCTCCAACTCTCCCTCTCATGCTCTCCCTCGTCTTCTTCTCCCACTTCTACTCTCTACCCCAAGCAAGACCACCACCTTACCCGCTGACTACATCCAAGCCAAGCCCGGTTATGGGGGCGGCCTGTCTATAGCGCTGCCTAGGGGCAGCGCCCTTCTCCCAGCTACCACGCTCGTTTCCCAGCACCAGCGCAAGCAAGCAGTCACGCACGAGCCAAATCTCCAGCAGCACTGCAGCATCCACTGCCCAGTGCCCCAATCAATGATGCACAACCAGGCACTTCCCTGTATCAAAATGGCCTGGCCTGCTCACTGCTATGCCTGGGGCGCACACATTTCCATTAGCTTCCGATTGGGCCAAAGTGTCTGCGCCCAGGCCCATTCAGACAGTGGTCTGGGACCGATTTGGTTGAGCATGCCCAACCACCCAGGCACAAACGTGCGGTGTTCTCCGCTTTTCCCCATGCTGCTGGAAGTGCCTAGAAGGCTCACAAATATTTCTGATTCTCACGAGCAAGGCGGATGTAACCAACTGGCGCGTGGTAACTGTCCGGCGCCCACCAAGGCTGTGCAAAACTGACAATTTCAGGCCTCATTGAGATGCAGGGCCCACCGTCACTTAGGGCGGGCACTTGCCTGCTGTAGGGGGCCCCTAAGGGTCATGCCAAGGACAGATATCCTCGCAATTCGTAAAGCAGCCTTGCAGAAAGTTTTTGTCGCCACAAGCAAAACTTGGAGGCGCCGCGCGGCCAGGCCCGCTGCCGAAAAAAAAAATCGGCGGTCTCCGAAGTGGCGCGGGTTTCATGCTGACACCTGCGGGCCGATATGTGGTGTACTGGTGCTTTAACACCAATTGGACCAAGTTCAGACTCCCTGGGTTCAAACTTCAAACACAGAGCTGACGAGCAAACGCCACACAGTTGCAGACAGAGCAAGCATCCACAGAAGCAGCAAACGATGCTGCGCAGACTACTTGTTTCCACGTGCACTGAGCATTGTTTACACAAAGTGGACCAGGTTCCGGCTCCCTGGCTTCAAATACAGATTTGAAGAGAAGAAAAGCACAGAGTTGCAAACAGACCAACCGCAGTAGAAGCAAACCATGCTGCGCAGACTTGTTGTTTGCAAGCGCACCAAGCATTTGGCACACAAATCGGACCAAGTTCAGACGGATGACAATCACACTAGGTATGCCGTGAAACAGCAAACCATGCTGCGCAGACTTGTTGTTTGCAAGCGCACTAAGCATTTCGCACACAAATCGGACCAAGTTCAGACGGATGACAATCGCACTAGGTATGCCGTGAAACTTCTCAGCATCAGCGGCCGTTGCAATGACCGGACTCTCTGAGTTTGGAAACAGAGATGAGAAATCGAGATGATCTGCATTCATAGAAGGAGGAG